CATCAGTTTAATTTGCCATAGGGATTTTACTGGTTAAAGTTAAGCATGCGGGAAGAGATCAGGATCCAAACGAGTAAAGTTACAGCAAGAGAGAGAGAAGCAACCAACTTAACCATAGAAGTTATTTATTGAATAATAGTAATAACTACACAAGGAGGACTAAACCAACATAACATACATGATTAAAGGTTAATACCTAAGGTAGAAAGGAAAACAGAGAGAGAGAGAGAAAGAGGGGGGGGGGTCTCACCCACTCCATGAGGCTTGAACTGGTCAGGGTTCCCAGATGATGGTGGTAGCTGAGGGTTCTGAATGCTGGAGACAGGCAGAGCTCCCAGCACGATCAGTCAGGAGATGGAGTTCCAGTGGAACTGATGCATAGTGTGGATCTAAGCATCAGAACCCTGACTAGAGGGTGAGTAGGGATTTTTGTAGAGAAATTACAATGGTTTAAGGGAGAACACTAGATTTGTTTATAGGTAAGCTGATGACTCAAGGGTTTTCTTTAGACTAGACAATAGGAGCTGATCACTCTGGGCTATGGGTGGTGTTTTCTTCCAGGGAGCTCACAACGCAACAAAGGCCTGGTCCCCACTAAGCCCCCACTTCGGACTAAGGTACGCAAATTCAGCTACATTAATAACATAGCTGAATTCGAAGTACCTTAGTCCGAACTTACCGCAGGTCCAGACGCGGCAGGAAGGCTCCCCCGTCGATGCCGCGTACTCCTCTCGCTGAGCTGGAGTACCGGCGTCGACGGTGAGCACTTCCGGGATCGATCGATTTATCGCGTCTTAACCAGATGCGATAAATCGATCCCAGAACATCGATTGCCTGCCGCCGGACCCTCCGGTAAGTGAAGACTTACCCTAAGCTGCTTCAGTATTTGGATATCAATTAAGGATTCATTACTAGCATTGGTCTGATAACTGCTGAGCTGCGTGTGTGTGCAGGCATAGGTTCATTAGCATCTGGAGCAGAGATTCCCAGGATGCAGTGCTTCCCTGCTTTTTCCGGTCCCAGAATTCAGTGTGGTTCTCTGTTCTCCATTCTGTATGTAAATTGAGATGTCTTCCTGTCCCATCTTTCAAGCAGATGAGGCTAGGGGAGTTGTCTTTGCTCTCCATTCTGTATGCTAATGGAGATGTCTTAATCTTGTCACCCTTGTCAGGAGGGGTCTATGTGTATCTCCCAACACCCTTCACTGCTCTCTGCAAGTTTTCTTTTTCTGATGGGTTTTGGTTTAAGCAGAGGCTGGGGGGGGGGGTCTTTCATGAGTCTGGCTGGATACTGCACCCTGGTTCCCCAGGAACACAGAGGTGTCTGGTATCACCTCTGCCCAACCCTGTCCTCTCAGAATCAGGAGATGCTGCCCCTCCCCACAACATTCCTCTTGGGCAGGATTTACAACATTCAAATTCAGGCTTGGCTTGACCGGACACTCGCAGGAGAATTCCTGTCTCTCTCTGGCTCTCATGCAGCGAGATCACAGTTCTCTGCCTCACCTCTCCGGCTCTGAAGAGCAAACCCAGCATTTTCCCACCTATATTCCTCTCCATCTGCCACCCTCTCCCCCCAGGGCTGGTGCAAGGATATTTTGCACCCTAGGCGAAACTTCCACCTTGCGCCCCCCCGGCACATCAGTTCATTGAGGGGCAAATCACAATAAGCCTTTATAGTCCCCAGGGGCCAGCCATGGCCAGGGGCTGCTCCCCAGACCAGGTTTCCCCCTCCGGGACCCCCGCCCCGACTCCACTCACTGGCTTTGCCAGACTTGGGCCGCTGCAGCGGCTCGGCAGGGAGGGGCCGCCTTCCGGAGGTACTGAAGAGCCAGAGCATCCCGGTAGCGGTGGCAGTGAGCCCCAGCACAGTGCAGGGGGGCAGCAGCCCTGCAAAGGCGGCAGCACGGCTAGCGGGGAGCAGCCACCAGGGCCAGCTCCAGGGTTTTTGCCAACCCAAGCAGCCCCCCCCCCCCAAAAAAGGCGCAATCGCGATCTGCAGTGGCAATTCAACAGAGGTCCTTCGCTCCAAGCAGGAGTGAGGGACCCTCCACCAAATTGCCGCTGAATAGCTGGACGTGCCACCCCTCTCCGGAGTGGCCACCCCAAGCACCTGCTTGCCAAGCTCGTGCCTGGAGCCGGCACTGGCAGCCACGCCTCCTGCCCAGGCTGCAGCCTGGTGCCCCTCCTCCCCCCGGGAGCTCCTGAAGGCTGCAGCAGATGCATGTGGGTGCCAGCGCCCCATGCGACCCCCGGCTGCCCACTTGCCGTGCTCGGGCTCTGCAGCTCCTGGGAGTGTGAGCCACCAGCACCACTGCCCCTCCTGGAGCAGGCTCCGGGCCCTGTGCACTGGTGGCGGCTCACATGCCCGGGAGCCGCAGAGCCCGAGCGTGGTGAGTGAGGAGCCGGGGGGCGCATGGGGGCTGCCGACCGCATGCATTTGCTGCAACCTGCAGGAGCCCCCAGATGGGGGTGTTACCCGGGGTTATTTCAACCCAAAGCTCTTGATAACTGTTACTCTGTGCGAGGAGGTGTCAGGAAATAAATCAGGGGAGACACGGCCGGCGACCGATCGATGGCTGGCACAAACAGGACAACACAACATTGCTTTCACTTAAAGCTAAACTTTACTAGTCTCAAGCACTTACACACGTCCGCAACAGGTTAGTAAAACACCCCCAACCCTCGATAATTACCAAAGCTCAGTATTGATTAAGCAGGTGTGGGTCTTTCCAGAGCCTGCAGCCTTGAGACCCTTGAGACATTCCTGAGGGTACATCCTGCTCTTTTCAAATGAATGTATCAGCAACTTTAACACAATTCTTATCAGGAAGGATGCGGGGTCAAGCTGTCCTTTCTGTGGCACCCAAAACCCCCTCCCCTTCTGTCTTGGCCAAGTTGAGATTGCTAAATGGAAAATTTACAGCTTGCTGACGGCGTTGCTTTTAACAATAAGCCCAGGGCCGGTGCAAAGAAGTTTTATGCCCTAGGCGAAATTTCCACCTTGCGCCCCCCTCTCACCCAGCTAATCCTGCCCCCCCCATGGCAGCTAACCCAACCCCCGCCTGGAAGCCTCCCCAGTAGCAGCTATTCCCCCTCTGCAGCTAACCCCGCCCAGGGAGAACCCTCCCTCTCTGCGGTAGCTAACCCCGCCCGGGGACCCCCCTCAGCTCACCTCGGCTCCGCCTTCTCTGCTGAGCACGCGGGCGCCGCTCTAATTCTCCTCCCCTCCCAGGCTTGCGACGCCGATTGGAGGAGACTTAGAGCGGGGGCTGTGTGCTCAGCGGAGGAGGCAGAGTGGAGGTGATCTGGGGCGGGCAGCGGTTCCCCTGTGCGTCCCCCCTGTTACTGCAGGCGGCCCTCCCCGCATCCCCGCTCCCAGCTCACCTTCACTCCACCTCCTCGCAGGGGTGGCAAGTTTGTAGAAATTTTGGTGGTGCCCAGAACCCGCTCCTGCCCAAACTCCGCCCCCAACCTGCCCAAGGCTCTGGGAGGGAGTTTGGGTGAGGGAGGAGATCTGGCGTGCAAGCCCTAGGCTGGGGCAGGGGATTGAGGTGCAGACTCTGGGAGGGAGTTTTGGGATGGGAGGAGTGCAGAGGGATGGGGTGCAGGGGTGAGGGCTTTGGGGTGTTGCTGCAGATGAGGGGTTTGGAGTGTGGGAGGGGCTCAGGGTGAGAGTAGTGGTGTAGGGGGTGAGGGCTCTGTCTGGGGCTGGGGATACACTGCTTGGGGTGCTGGAGGGGCTCAGGACTCAGGCAGAGAGTGCAGTGGGGGTGAAAGCTCTGGCTAGGGGTGTGGGCTCTGGGGTCGGGCAGAGCTGGGGATGAATTTGGGGTACAGGCAGACTGCTCTGGTACAGGGGCCAGAGAGGAGGACTCTCCCAGCTCTTTCCCTGCCAGCAGCAGCAAGCTCTGGGATACGAGCCCCCCTTTCCTGCCCCCCCAGCAGCACACTCACCCCCACCACTGTCACTGCATGTGCTCCTAGGGTCCCTCTCAGGGTCTGGAATCTCCCTCGCCTCCCCCATGGTGGGGCGCTGTGTGTGCCTCCTCCCCTGCTGTTGCCCCTGACCGTAGCCTCGCTGGGGGTGAGGGATGGGGGTGCCTCCTTGCCCAGCATGGGGCAGGAGCAGTGACTGCGGGCAGGGGGGTCCCCTGTGCTGCTAGAGGGTCCCATTGGAAAATGAAAGGGTCTGAGTGGGAAAGGCAGGCTAAGAGTCAGTCTGCCCTGGCAGTGGAAAAGGGGGGCAGTAGGACCCTACAGCAGCAGTTGTTGCAGGGAAGCAGCATGGAGGAAACAAAGACAGACAGGTTCTGCTCCCGGACAGAGACTCCAGGGGCCAGTGAAAGGCGAGCAGGGGGTGGGGCAGCAAGTCGGGGCCAGGGGACACTTGGGGAAGTCTTGGCGGGGCTGCAGGTGGGGCCGGGGGGGACACGCGGCCCCAAGTACTGCTGGAGTTGGGCCCTTGGCTCTGAATATTGCTGGTGCTGGAGCACCATGCACCACGTGGATATGGAACTGAGCCTGCTTTTATGCGTCCCCAACCACTAGGCGCTCAAGGTGGTCGCTTAGTTTGCCTTATGGTTGCACCAGCCCTGAATAAGCCATAGTGGTTTTAGGCACTTTACTGGTTTGTCAAAGTCTCCCCGTACAGGGGCACGCCAGGCTGCAGCCTGGGCAGGAGGGGCGCAGGGCACGGCTGCTCTCCGCTAGCCGCGCCACCACCTTTGCAGGGCTGCTGCCCCCTGTGCTGTGCCGGCTCCTCCATGGCTGGGGCTCACCGCCCCCGCAAACCGACACTCTGTCTCTCCGGTGCCTCCAGAAGGCGGCTCCTCCCTGCCAAGCCAGAACACCGCTTTATTAGGGTTACCATATTTCAACAATCAAAGAGAACGGGGGGAGAACCCTGCCCCCATCCACTCCCTCCCACTTTCCGCCCCCTTCAGAACCCCCAACCCCCCCTGCTCCTTGCCCCCTGACTGCCCCCTCCTGAGACCCCCTCGCACTCTAACTGCCCCCCTAGGACCGGACCCCCTAGCTGTCCCCTGGCTGCCCCAACCCTTATCCACACCCCACCACCAGACAGACCCCCGGGACTTCCACACCCCATCCAACCACTCCCCACCCCCTGACAGACACCCCTCAGAACTCCCAATCCATGCAACCCTCCCCCCGCCCCGACAACCCCCCCAGAACTCCCGACCCAGCCAACCCTCCCCTGCCC